GTTGGTTATTTATGAAAGTCTCCAGGTTGGAGAGTTCTTTTTTGATGTTTTCCTGTTTGCTGTATAGGATGCTGATCAGGTGGTTTCTCTAGTTTCTTTGATAGTGTCTGGCATAATCTCTCACTGTGGTGTGTGCAGTATGTAGATAGCAATTGGATTTTTCACCTTCAGTCCATTTGGTATGATGTCCATCCGTTTGCATTTGGAAAGGAACATGATATCTGTCTGTACTTGTGCAAGTTTCTTCATGAGGTTGATGGATTTCCACTCCATACAGCTAAATGCAGTGCCTTGCATGGTGTCAAGTATGTATATTTCCACCATGTGCGTCTGACGAAGTGGGTATTCACCCACAAAAGTTTATGCTCCAATACTTCTGTTAGTCTATAAGGTGCCACAGGACTCTTTGTTGCTTTTTACAGATCCAGACTAACACGGCTACCCCTCTGATCATTGAGTGTAGGACTTCATCTGTTTTTGCCGAGAATAGTTTTTCCCTGTCAAAGGGGAGGTTCCCGACTTTAGTCTGGAGGTCCTTTGGTATTCCAGAGGATTGTAGCCAGGAGGCCCTCCTCATGACTACTGCTGTAGCTGTTGTGCGAGCAGCTATGACCATGATGTTAAGGGATGCTTGTAAAGCAGTCCTCGCCATGAGCTGACCTTCGGTTATGGTGGATTGGAATTGATCCCATCGGTCTTCTGGGATGTCTGCTATGAATTCACTGAGTTTTTGGTAATAATCATGGTCGTATTTCGCTAGTACTGCTGTGTAGCTGGCCATGCGAAATTCAAGGGTTGCTGATGAATAGACCTTTCAGCCAAACAAATCCAATCTTTTTGAGTCCTTGTCCAGTGGGGTAGATTTATAATGGGGTTGTTCCACCTATTGGTTCACCGCCTCCACAACCAAGAAGTATGGCTGAGAGTGTGAAAATAGGAAGTCCATACCCTTGTTGGGAACTTAATACTTCCTGTCCACCCTTTTGCATGTCGGAGGTATGGTTGCTTGTGTTTGCCATTGTGGTAGTGCAATCTTAGTCGAGGATGCTGGGTGTAGTATCTTGAGCTGATGTTGGTTTTCAGTCACCTCCAGCTGGATGTTCTGGCTGGGTGCCATCCGTTTGAATAGCTCTTGAAATTGTTTTGAGTCATCTGCAATGGTGGGTGCGGATGGCATGACCGCCTCATCCAGAGATGAAGATGAGTTGTGAATTGGTGATTGTTCTTGGTCATTGGAATCATCCAATTCCTCTTCAGAGTCCTCCTGTGTCTCCGAGGGCTCGTTTGCAGTAGCTGTCGCAGAGTGTATCTGTCACCTCTGCGATGTACGGGGCCCTTGGGTCTGAGCATGGTAAACTGCCCATGAGTCCCACTGTGCCCATTGCATTGGGAATGGCATGGGCAGCACATCCACAGGTTAGTCAGCCATGGAAGCATGTCCCTGGGTAGGTGTTCCCTGGAACTTGTGTGCAACACTGGTGGTTCAGTGCCCAATGGGGAGGAATCTCCGGAGTAGAAGACTGCCTCATACATATCAGCTTCCTCATCACTTGAGAATCTGGAAGCATTTGGTGATTCCAGTTGCACCGGTGCCATTGGCACCGGAGAACTGTCGGTGCCAAGTATCGGTGTGGATGAGATTCTGATATTGGCTGCTTTAGTGAGGGAGTATGGTGCTGAGGGCAGCGGTGCCATGTTCTTATGTGTAGAAGCCTGGGACGTTGATCCCGTCTGCCTGTGCATGACCTTTGCTGGTGCCGACTTAGTATGGTCAGGTATCAGCTCTGTAGTATGTGGCATCACAGGAGATGGCATAGCGAGCTTAGGCATTGTCGGCACCGTGTCCTTCCTTGTAGTTGGTGCTGTGGAGGAAGTTGATTTATGCCTGCAACTTGGTTCCTTATCTCTGCCAGCCGAGGTCCCAGTACTGGTGGTGCCAGAGATGCTCGGAGCATCAAACATGCTCACCCTGCTGGTCACCATGGGTAGCGATCTTGCTGGAGACTGTTTTCTCTTCAACGGTTCTCCATGAGCAGGAGATGTCTCCCTCTTCCTCGCCTTTTTGGAGGAGAGGGTACTTGCTCTGTTCAGGGAGGACGTACCTGGCGAATCCCCCAATTCCCGGAGCGGAGGGTGGTGTGAGGGATTTTTCCATAAGAATCATTTTGAGTCGGAGATCCCTGTCTCTCCTCACTCTGGCTTTAAGATTACTGCAGTGGGAGCATTTCTGAGGAATGTGCTCCTCTCCTAAGCAGCAGACACATTGTGAGTGTCCGTCGGAGATGGGCATCGCGTCCTTACAAGAAGTACATGTTTTAAACCCAGGAGAGGCTGGCATTTTCAGATTCCAATTTGGTCGTGGGATAACTAAAGGAAACGGAGGGAAAAAACCCCTAGGGAGGGTTTTTTTTTTTTTTTAGTTTAACTGGTTAGAAAAAGAAACGAAATCTAGTTCAACAATGACTTAACTATTGAGGACTAACTTAACTAATAATTATTTTTAACACTTTTCTAGATGGTTCTGTGACACTGCCGTTGGAGCTCCGTCTGCAGCCGAGGACAGCTGAAAAGGATCTGACGGGTCTGGGACGCACGAGCGCTACTTGAATCTCCAACGGCATTGCGAGATAGCTACTGTGCATGTGTGTCCCAACCAGGTTCTGCTACCGAAAATCTCCAATCAGTGGCACCGGGACGCACCAACGCCTGAAGTGGAGCACCCACAGGGAACTCGAAGAAGAACTTTTAAATCCTTTATGACATGGTTATGGCTTGCTCTTTTCTGTAAAAGCCTTATAAATAATGGGCTTGAGGAACCTCACACTGATTTTACATAAACAGAATTATTCTCAGTATTTATCAGTGTAAGGTACCAATCCTGCAAAGACTTATGCAAGTGCTTAACTTAACTGAAGTCAGTTGGACACATTGCCTGCTTAAAGTTAGGCCCTTATACCACAAAGACTTGCATATTGCTTAAGTAGCGGGAAAATCAGCCCAATAGTCTCACAAAAGATCTCAAGATGATCAAGGGATCTTTGTTCACAAGGGCTGGACAGAGATCCACCTTCTCTTCAATACATACACAAACTCCAGCTACACATGACCACCAAGAATAGAAAAGATTCCACAGTGTTCAAATCTTTGGGCAAATTTCAACAAATGAAGAGGAAAAAAGCTCTACAGGTTTCTCTCAAACAAACTAGAAATTCCACCTTTAACAGAAATCCCATGTTATTTTATATCAATATGTGAAATTAACACAAAAGACTTAAAAGTAAATTTGATTTACTTTTAAAATGGGTTTCTTTAGACAACTGAGATAACTGGACTACAGACAAAAAATGTTAAGGGAAAACCCTGCTTCCCCTTTCCTCTGCAGACACATAGGGCCCAATAGGTAGTGGAACATGTTCCACTGCACAGAGCACAAATCAGAGGAACTTGCATAGTAGGGCTCCACTCCCTGGTCTCCATGGGGCTGTGAAGGATGGAGGATAAATCAGCAGATCTGGGACTGAAGATCTATGGTTCAAACATATCTTTGTGAAGTAGGTCAGGCCTGAGTCTTCAGGAGTTGCAGAGTGGCTCCATGGCCTAGGGTGGAGAGGGGAAGGATGCTATTTCCCTGGCCATTGGAGAACTCTCCCCGATCAAGCCACATCACTTTGATTGCTGCAAATCAGGGTTTCTCCCTTAATAAAAATTTTAAGAATTTTTAAACCATTAAAGATTTTTTTATCCCTTTCTTTATTGAAACAAAACAGTGACATTTAAGTTGTCAATCACTATCCCAGAAAAGCCCTATTCATTTTATTACCTCTAGTTTGTGAGTGCTTACTCTTGGAACTGTAATTCCTGGGAACAGATCTGCCATAATGTTCTCAAACAGAGGAACATCTTCTGCAAGAAACTTGGGTAAATTAGCTTCTTTCAATGAATTGATTATAATGAGAGTTTCTTCTTCTGCAGGAACACTAGTATAATAATTTCTAGAAAAATTATAAAAAGAATGTCAACCCAGGCTATTTAATATATGGTTCTATCTGTCTTACACCCTGGGAGAATATCATTCTCATTTTCTAATTCATTTATAATTGTGCATCATACTGTACATTTTAGCAGATATTTTGAAAACAATCACATTTTTGTACTGAAAAGAGTTTGGAAGGACAAGGTGAGATCAAACTTCCTTATTTAATTTGAATTTCACCTTGGAACATAATTTTGCTCACTTTCCTCATTTGGGACCCAATCCAATTCTGACTGAAATAAAATAAAAGATTCTCACTGACTTCAATAAAAGTTGGATCAGGCCCATGAGTAGTAAATTAATACAAAATCTATTCAACAGAAAAAAAGGCAAATGAATAGAGTAAAACAGGAATTCAAGTCACAGTATATTAAAACAACAATCATAGAAATGTAGGGCTGGACAGGATCTCAAGAGGTCATCTAGTCCATCTCCCTGTGCTGAGATAGGACCAAGTATATCTAGACCATCCCTGACAGGTGTTTGTCTAACCTATTCATAAAAGCCTCCTATGAGGGGAATTGCACAACCTCCTTTGATAGCCTATTCCAGTATATAACTATCCTTACAGTTAGAAAGATTTTCCTTATATTTAACCTCAATCTCCCTTGCTACAGATTAAGCTAATTATTTCTTCTCCATGTCCATTGAAAGTAGGACAACAATTGATCACCATCCTTGTTATAACATTTGTAGACTTATCAGGTCTCCCCCTCTTTTCTCAAAACTAAACATCCCTAGTGTTTTTTAAACCTTTCCTCATCAGTCATGTTTTCTAAATCTTTTATCATTTTTGTTGCTGTCCTCTGGACTCACTTGAATTTGCCCACATTTGAAAGTGTGGCGTCCAAAATTGAAAGCAATACTTCAGATGAGGTCTCATCAGTACCAAGCAGAGCAGAACAATTACCTCTCATGTCTCACATATAACACTACAGTTAATCCACCCTAGAATATTTGCCTTTTTTGCAACTGCATGACATTGTCTCATATTCAAATTGTGACCCACTATACCCCCAGATCCTTTTCAGCAGTACTACTGCCTGGCCAATTATTCCCCATTTTGTAGTTGGGGATTTGATTTTTCCTTCCTAAATGTAGTACTTTACACCTGTTCTATTGAATTTCATCTTGCTGATTTCACACCAGTTCTCCAATGAATCAAGGTCAGTTTGAATTCTAATCCTGTCCTCTAAAGGATTTGCAACCCCTTCTATCTTGGTGCCATCTGTAAATTTTATAAGCATACTCTCCACTCTATTGCCAAGTCATTAACGAAAATATTGAATAGTACCCAACCCAGGACTGATCTAAGCAGGACCCTACTAGATTTCCCGGTTTGACAGTAAACCATTAATAACTACTCTAAGTATGGTTTTTCAACCAGTTGTGCACCACCTTTTGGTAATTTCATCTAGACCACATTTCCCTAGTTTGCTCATTAGAATCTCATGTGGGACTTATCATGGCTAATACAATCCAGTTCTATAACATAAATACCAATGGTCTTAACAGCAGTTGGAAGAAAGAAAGAAAGAAAGAAAGAAAGAAAGAAAGAAAGAAAAGCCCCAGATACATGGAACTTTTTTTTAAAACATACACCTTATGGAGGAACATCATAAATACATCAAAGGTAACTGGTTCCAAACTCTTTATATTTCTCCAGGAACATCAAATAAAAGAGGAGTAGAAATCATTATTGCCAAACATATACCTTACCAAATAAAGGATAAATATATAGATAATGAAGGCAAATGTCTAGTTAAAGGTACAATAGGTGATAGAATGCTAATGTTAGGAAGTATTTGTGCCCCTAGTGACGGTCAAATACCTTTTTTCAGAAAGTTATCTCAGACATTTGAAGATTTTAGAGAAGGAAATATTATTATTGGATATGATAATAATTGTATCCAGATCCCGGGTTAGATAGATCAGAGAGGCAGTATAATAAAGGATAGATTAATTCTGCTTCTGATTTTCTATCTAATGGATAAACATATTTGTGTGACTCCAAGAGGTGTCTTAACCCAAAGAAAAGAGACTACTCCTTCTTTTCAATATCCCATAGAACATATATGATCTCTAGATCTTTGCTTAGTACAGCAATGTCAGCACTGCAAGGATGCATCCCTTGATCAGATCATGCATTAGTTTAGCTTCTTATAAGATAATGGAAAGACACACTAAAATGAAAAAATGGAGATTAAACATCTCACTTCTATGGGATGACAAGAAAAGAGTTGAAGATATCAGAGAGGAAAATAAGCAATATTCTAAGGAAAACAATGCTGACTAGATTTTAAAAAGCACTCTGTGAGAAATCTAGAAAGCAGTAATTGGGGCATCCTAATTAACGAAAAATCCTATGTTAGAAAAGTTAGAAAAGAGGAAATGCAAACATTGCTCAACAAGGCTGAAAAATTTAAATTACACCAGAAAAATCAATCTCAGAAAATACACAAAAAAATAAGAGAGGTCAGAAGCAAGTTAGATTTGCAACAAACAGAAAAAGCTGAATTGGCAATCAGATACACCAAACACCTATATTATGAAAAGATTAACAAAAGTGATAAATTACTAGCTAATAGACTAAAAATTTAAAAGGAAGTAAAATTATACCTCCAATCTGGAAGCTCCAAATAAACTGGCAACTGGCCCAAAAGGTATATGTGAGACTTTTGCAAACTTCTATAGGAGAAGTGCCACCAGACTCCTTGTTGTTTTTGTGGATACAGACTAACACGGCTACCCCTCTGAAAGATGGTGGGAATGACTGGAAGAGGACGACGCTTCTTGGGGCACTGACCACACCTTCCAAATTGTTGCTTAAGTGGGGTTGCATGAGAAGTAGCCCTCTGAGGAGCGGATTTTCTACGCTTGGAGAAAAGCCTTTGTTTTCAGCACTGGATGTCCTAATGACATTGAGGAGTATAATACGGTGGCAGGGATCGCAGGGGGAGATGATACTTTCCGGATGTCTCTTAAACGCAGACGTGTAGGTGCCAAGAAATCGGAGTGTAGCTCAGGAGTTTTTACGGGTGTGCAGGGAATCATCTGTGTGCTCTGAGAACATTTTTTTTTGTTTCGGTACTGAAGGTACTTGGGTGGGACCCACAGCTATGGCCCCTGTCAGATGCTGTTGAGGCGACTGACGTCATTGGGGATGGTGTTCTGGTGGGCTATGCCTCAAAGCATAGGCACTAACTCCATGGGTGCTCCGGGGCTGGAGCACCCATAGAAAAAAAATTGTGGTTGCTCAGCACCCACCAGCCACCCACCAATCAGTTGTTTGGCGGCAGGCAGGAGGTGCTGGGGGGAGGGGATGGAGTGGGGGTGGGAAGAGGCGGAGTGAGGGCAGGGGTGGCTTGGGGGAGGAGAAGGGGTGGGAAGAGGTGGAGCGAGGGTGGGGACTTGGGGGAAGGGGCAGAGTGGGGACAGGGCCTCAGGGTGGAGCAGGGGTGGAGCACCCACCCGGAAAGAAGAAAGTTGGCGCCTGTGCCTCAAAGTGTGAGGAGGGAGCCCATTTTTTCTAATCCAAGTGAGAAAGGGACGACTTTCTCTTCGAAGGACGAGGGGAATGAGGATCAGCAGACAACCTGGCAGAACGCGAGGGCTTCACAAGGGGAGAGTCCAGGCCTGGGTCTGATGCATGCTGCAGTGATTTCTCCATAAGGAGAAGTCTTAAGCTAATGTCCTGGTCTTTCTTGGCTCGGGCTGTCAGGCCATGGCAGTGGGAACACTTTGTAGAACGTATCCCTCTCCCAGACAGTGTGTATATTGCAGATGGCTGTGTGTTACCTGTATGGTGGCCCCGCAGGAGATGCACCTCTTACACCAAGGGATCTGGGCATAAGGGTGAAGAAAAAAGCTTCCCAATTGGGATGGGTGGGAAGATGGGGGAAAATGAAACCTAAGCTATGAAATAATTGTAAAGATAAAGTAAACAACAAAAAAAATTTTTTAGAAGAAAAGGAGAAGAAAGAAATACTAACTATACTACAACTAACAGGTAAGGCACTAACTACTGAGGGAACAGGGAAAAGGGGGCTCTGCTGCAGATTCCATCCAAGACTAAAGGTGGTAGAAAAGGAACTGGGGGGAGTCAGACTGCACAGTACTTATATATATTATATATATATATGTACCGCTCACTGTGCAAGAGGGAGGAGGTGCACATGTATGGTCCGACAGGCACTGCTGATGAAGATCTCCGATCCCAGGCACAGGGAGCACTGCCGCACCTACAGTGGAGCACTCATAGGGACATCACTTGAAGAAGAACACGAAATTTCAGGTTTGGCAAAACTGCAGTAGTTAAAATGAATATCTTACTCCAAAATCACTTCTTTTTTCCAAACAGTTCAAGTTCCAGGCCTAGGAAATCTCTTAGATCAAATGGCAATCCATGATAAATTGATTTGGGGAAATAAGAAACCCAGTGTTAAGCAATCTACTTTACATAGGCCATGGTAAAAGGGAGGATTGGCTCTGTCAAGGCTGAATCCCCACTCTGGCACTTCGAATGCAGAAGGTGGGGGCCCACAAGGATTTTAAAAATTAATACTTGCCACTCCAAGCTTGTATTAAACTCCCAAAGTTACAGCTTTTCTCTGACCTTGGCTTGGTAAACGCTGCCACCGCCCAAATGCAAAAAACCCCCTTGGACCCAGGAAGGAGCACTTGGGAATTCCTCCCTGTGGGGGTACCCTCAAGCCCTTTCACACACACCCCTCCGGGGAAGAGCTGAGAAAGAAAACAAAGGAAATTAGCTGTTGCTACCAGCTAATCAAACAACATGCACAAACCTCTTAGGACACCAAAAATTCAATCTTGTTCTTAAAAAGTAAATTTTATTAAAACAAAAAAGAAAGTAAATACATCTGGAACTTAGGCTTTAGTTAGATTTTAAAAGAGCAATTCCAAAAATTAAACACCCAAAATAGCTTTCTTGGGGGTTCAGCTTAAAGGTTACAAGCAAACAAAAGTATCTGGGGTTAGCACAGAGGAGTCCATTACTCATAAGAAATAAACAGAAATAACCCTAATTGCATCTTTCTAAACATTCCTGATCTACTTACACATTTGGGAGTTCCAGATAAGTAGTTCTAGGTATGATCTGATGACTTATGATCATACCTGGCTTAAAGCTGCTTACAGCATTGCTGGTCTGTGTCTCTGCTCTCTGGAGAACAACCACAGACACAAAGGGAAGAGGAGGTTACTCACCCTGTGCAGTAACTGACGTTCTTCGAGATGAGTGTCCCTGTGGGTGCTCCACTGTAGGTGCTGGTGCGTCCCTGCGCCTTCGCCCGGAGATTTTTACAGCAGTACTCATAGCGGCCACGCATGCTCAGAAGCTGCCCCCCCCGGTGTGCCTCTAGGTTAATAGTACGCATGCGTGGCCGGTCTCCTCAGTTCCTTCTCTACCACGGAGGCCCCCAACTCCGAAGTAGAGGGGAG